TCTCCCCCTTCTTCCTACACTCGTTGCCCTATCGACCCTGTCCTCGCCAGACTACACTCGTTGCCTGGTTCACTTGATGTCACCTCCGCCATAACTCTCAACTCCCCGTCTCTCCATTTTTGCAATGTTGAGTCAAATTTCAGAATTCAAAGTTCTTAGTTCCCTCATTTTGCTCATTATGCGCCATAAGATCTTTGTTCAGTCAGAGCTGATTGCCTTCAAGGCTTCACCCAATATCTTTGCGGTTTCTCCACTGTATATCTCGAAACCTCCCCCTATCTTACTTTCTCGCCCACCTGTCAAAACACTCTAGAAACCCTCATTTCATCGATCGCCCATAATCCCAACCCTCTCCCCCGCTGATTTGTTGTTCACTTACGTCCACTTGTACACACCACATCTAATTCACAACCCTTGCATCTTTGACCTGGTGCTGCAAAACCCACCATAGCATCGTATCATACATGTGCACGTCTGAGACGACGGAATGGACAAAGTTTGAATGAGAATGGGGTGAAATTACGGCATCCTGTTGGCCAGGGACATTACCCTCTCCAGGAGACTACTGTTCTGAGTTTTTTTAGTATTAAAAATGGTTCCGTGTTCTGAGTTTTTTTAGCATTAAAAATGGTTCCGTAAGGATGTCAAATCCTAAGTGTATTTTTGGAGGCCGGGTAGCAACTTGGGCCCTAGGGACATTTATCACCGAAAATTCATTCACAATTTTCTAAGGAAGTTTCTCAAGTTTGCGCTATTGGGATGTTTCTTCCTGCCTCCCTCCTCCTAACTTGGCATCATCTTTCATCTTTATATTCTTTCTCTGCTTTTTTTTTCTATCTTACTCTAAAAAATTAATCTACAATATTTCGCAATTTCGTTTGCGGCCTACACTGTCTACATTAACGATTAGTTCTCACCCGGCGTCAAGCATTGCTACTGTGCACTCAACCAACTTCTAATCCAGGAGATACTTGTGCCTTTTTTTTTTTTTTAATACAAAGACCATGCCCTTTTTTTTTCTTTTTTTTTATTGAGACGATGCTCTATTGTATTCATGGGGAGCAACACGGCTGCCCTATCTTCTTTTATAATTTGTTTTTACATTTTCCTTCTTATTCCCATAAATCAAGATAATTTGATAAACAATAAATGACTGAACTTGTTTTACACATGCAACATTTTATTAATCCTTTAAACTGGAATAAAGTGATCAACAAGTTAATAATTTAAGGTTCTGTTCAAAGTATGCAATAAATTGGATGTAAATTTTGTATCGACCTCTGATGGCAAGTTAGTGAATTCACATTCCTACTCTTTTAGAATTGAATTAAAGTGACAAGTGGCACTAAGTGACTGGAGATGTGAAAAGGGTATCATTAATTATGTGGACACATAGATGTGTTTCATATATGAACGACAACAGATCTGCAACAAATGCAAGACGTTGCACTTCACATTTTCCAAAAGGTATACACAATAATTACAAAAGGAATGGTTTCTTCACTGTAATCACTGTGTAACGTCATAATGGGATCAAGTAAATATAATGTAGTTTAATAGTTATTTATTTTATCATTTTTTATGTGCACCTCATATGTGGGTCATAAGTGAATGCGTGGGTCATAAGTAAATACTCGTTCTCAGTTTAAGTTCTGCAACGAAGCCCAAGTTAGGTGAATAAGATGGATCATACACATGGCATTGCCACACATGCTAAGTGAAACTCTTTTCCAAACAACACATGCAATACATACTAGAGTACGCCGTACACAAGTTCCCATTTTGCTCACCACCTTAACCTGTTGGCAAGGCAAGCTGCCTCTCTCTCTCTCTCTCTCTCTCTCACACACACACACACACACATACACACTAGAGTCACCACCTTATAGGTTCTTTATGTCATCGCATGTAATCAATGTTTGACTACATCATCAAGAGATGATTACACTCTCATCTTCCTGTGATGAAGCATACATAATCATGTAAAAGGCAAGGCCGCACGCCTCTAGCGGCTACACTCTTTGTATCAATACATCATCATGTAAAACGTGAGGCAGCATGGCATGTAAAAGGTGTTTTATATTCTTCTTTGGGCAACTTCCAGAAATACAGTTGCAGCACTTCTACAACCACCAGGATGGACTCCACTTGTATCAGACCCACCAGGTGTGGTACTACATGCCCAAAACTTTCGAGGTGGGGTACTGCAGGCCCACGGTGTGCTACGACATGCCCAAAACTTTCGAGGTGGGGTACTGCAGGCCCACATGGCACTGTGCCCTACCAGATCATGAATCCGTGCCAGATTCATTCCAATCTAAGGCCATACTCACAGGAACCCCAAATCCGCAAAATATGCCAATTTGAGGTTTTGGGCATGGTTCACGTCACGCTGCTGTACCTCTTCAGATGGGACAAGGTCGCGGCCGTCTGGAGAAATGGGGATTTGGTACTTGGAACACGGCTCCATCCACCAATTGTGCAAGAACTTTTGTGAACGATTTTTTGCCAATTTTTGAAGAAAATGCAAAAAAAAAAAGGGAATTTGCAGTCACCTCCAGAGGTGACCGCAAAACCCATTTGCAAATTTGGTAGATCTGGGTGACCGGCCTTTTCCCCTTTTTTTGGGGGTTTTGGGATTATAGGTCCCCGTGTGAGTATGCCCTAAAAGAGGCCGACGGTGGTACCCCGAATCAATCGAAAGAGGCCCAAGTACCGTATCTTGAAAAACAGTGGCCCTACCGGTTCATGAACCTGGTGCACAAACCACGCCATATTCATTGTCCTGTTACAACAGGCCACCTGATTTGTGGCCACAGCAGGAAGGCGCCTTTACCCAGGGGGAAGTTATTTGGGCCTCTGTAGTACCAAACGGCCAAATTTTGGGCGCCCCACACCGAAAACGTCTCTGCGTGGGCACTTTCCACCAATTATTACGTACTTCTGCAATTTGCCCCCTTTTTTTTGGTACTGTCATAATGTCTCTGTCAAAGGGTCCATGAGCTACACGTGCGGCTCTCCTAGAACATCCCTACGTCGTTCAATTGTAGATACTTCTTTTTGTTAATACAAAAAAAACACAAAAAAATACAAAAAAAACAAGCGTTTGTATATTCAGGCGTTTGTATATTCCTCTGGTCTTGATCTGGTATCATTGTTTTAGCTGTATTATTTTTTTCGTGCTCTCATAATATACCCCTGTCGGACGGTATACTAGCTGCAAATGCAACTCTCCTAAAGATCAAGGGCTTTGCTTCGCATTTTCGTTCCTACCTTCATCAATTGTCAGTAGCTTTTGAATATTCATATGGTACCATTCAGATCTCAATTTTCAACCACCTGCTTGTTAGTGGTTGCAAGGTTTGGTTTATTTTGCAGCTTCCGTTTGATCTCTTCTGTAATTATCGTTTTGCCTATGTTGGTTATGACAGACACTCCAGTGACTCCATTGCACACGACACGACGTCATACAATACTCCGGTTCAGTCGCACCCAGACACCGAGTAATTTTACACAACTCTATGGCACACACACATCACAAACAGAATCCACATAGTATGGCACTCTGATCGCATATAGTCTCACAGACAATCCGCATATAGTCTCACAGACAATCCACACTGCCCAAAAAGTATTCACAACTACCATACACGTCACGCACAGACACCCGACACCAGACCCGCTTTGCGGCGGGTGAGGCCCTCCCCACACCCTAAGCAAGCCTCAATCCCGCACATCCAAAACTCACCTCTGTGGGCAACTGCCTCCCGTGTACACCTCTCCACACTACACCACCTCTGCACTTGTGTGGCGTAAAGGGCGTGCTGAGACAACCCCCGGCGCTAAAATCAATGCCTAGTAACGAGAGGGGGGTGAATGACGGGTAACACCTAAGAAAAAAAAAAAAAAAAAAAAAGACAAACGACTTGCGTCCATATCAATGTGAACAAATATCTCACTACCTATTACTTAACGTATACCCCCTTCCCATCTTCCTTGACATCGAGGTGTAACCGATACCATCATACCAATATCAGCTCCCGAGCCTCGAATCTACCAGCAGGAGCCTGCACGGAGTCACGGACCCCTTTGAAGTATACCGGCTGATCACCCTTCACTGTTCTGCTCAAATCAAGAATTCCACCTCCCGGGTCCTTCCCCTCAGTTCATTAGCCCGCAATGTGGGGTTTTAATCAAGAATTCCACCTCCCGGGTCCTTCCCCTCGGTTCATTAGCCCGCAATGTGGGGTTTTTGTGTCCGCTCTACTTATCTTTTTTTTTACAGCTTTTTGGATGCTTCCTTAAGACCCTGATGGTGTAATGTGGCACACGATCCCAGCTCTGCCTCGCAACAACACAGTGCAACGCACCGATTTGCCCACAATGACCCAGAAGTGGGGCCTTCCACTCTCCACTTGCTACTTTCACAGTTCCAATGTTGCATAACAGCTTGCAACGGCCCCCCATAATCGACAGCTAATGTCACATTATCAAACATCAGGCCGCACAACAGAGCAATCGTCAAATCTCAAGTACTGCTCCAGAGTCTCCTCCCAGCCTGGGCCCACACCGCTACGGTTCTAGTGTGCTCACTGCGGCAGCAGATCCAAAACGGGTGGTGGTACACACTTATGGTCTACTCCTAGCAGGCCGCGAAATCCACTGTTACAACCTATATTTGGGAATGTGAAACAGCTTAACAGACCTCGAAGCAAGATAACGGTGTTATGAAACGGAGAGCTTACACCGTTACACAAACACAAACCTGTGATCACAGACACAAAATAATGTTGCATTTTGTAACTTGCCCTAGCAAATCGATTTCATCTTCCTGTGATGATAAGACTTGTAGCCTGGTCGCGTACTGCCCCAGAATCGTCCTTTTCACAAAACGAATACCGCACATCAATTTTTTTTTCTCCATAGCACAAGGGCAAGTTATGTACGATACAATCACAGTGATCACACCCTTCACAGTGTTCACACCCACCGTCAGAAGATAGACAATGGATTGTTCATTTCGGTTGGTTGGCCCAATAGCAATATCTTGCTCAAGAAGACAAAGTTCAACAAGCGCACCAAAACGTCCACTCTTCATCACCAACTTGGTGATTGCAAACAATCGACGAGAGACCTTCACAACTTGAGTAGCGCTGCCCATTACACTGATTACAGTAACCAAAATGTGCATAACATCAGCGCGGCCCTGATAATCCCCATTCAAGGACGAAGGGTTTCTTTCTTGTATTTCGATATCCGAAGATTTAGAACGAGCTGCAAACAGTGCAAAGTTAACAACAAGGTATTGTACGAACATCACCTTTTCACTTACACGCTAGACGCCATTCAACTCTTCAGCACCAAACAACTCTTCAGCGCCATTCAACAAGGAATTGAACAAGTGCACCTAACATCATCTTCAACTACGCAACCTAGACGTCATTCAAATCTTCAGCACCCGCTCTCATGCACGTCCCTCTAATCGATATAATTCGACATTTATTGTGGGAATTAAGGCACAGACACGACCCTATCGACAAATCTATTGGACCACCCTTCCTTTCAGTGTAATTCAGCCAAAATTAACCCCTCCAGCTAACCCTATTTCAACTGCTTTACACAGTATCCAACACTCCTTCACATGATGTCCTCGTCCCATTCACGGAGTGCTTTCGACACCTGTAGTAGTGTCTCTCGTGCACGCAAGCAACCAGCCACACAGACAACTAATATCGATCAGGAACTCCGAAGTCCCCTTGGTCGGCTTACAAAGAGTAACCAAGCAGGAAGGCAAGTAATCGCTCTTTCATGATAGTGAAAACTTTCTACAAGCTCCAAAACCTCTCCTAGTGTTGCCGTTGTTGCACGTGCGAACAAACACATCCACACACACGAAAATACACACACACACACACACACACACACACACACACACACAGAGAGAGAGAGAGAGAGAGAGAGAGAGAGATCACGAACTGCCCACTGCCCAGTCCACATAGTCCGAAGAGTACGTCGACAGAAAGATCTTTGATGGTAGACCTGGGAAGCTGTCCTGGATGGCGGAGGAGAAAGAGATAGCAATCTCCTCCGCACAGAGTCTGCAGATGATCATGAGTCACGACACCACACAACCATTTATTGATCTCCCACCCCGTCCAGCCTCACCTGTGGGTAGTGACTTTTCTTCAGAATGTCCGCTACGCGTGCTCTGCTTTCTAATCTGGCCCAAGCAATTCTGCGAAACATTTTCGTTTCCATCTAATCACTCCACGTATGGACGTTCTAAGTGGTACCAACAATCACAACCCAATATCTCCCCCCCTTCACGCTACGGCTGGCTACACCAATGTCCCTGTACGACGGATCCACCAGTACAGCGCGAGTGGTTGCATTGCTGACCCAGGCGTTCAACGGATCGCCCCCTCCACAAGACACGAGCTCCGTGACGAACTTGTAGTCTCCAAACCATTTGCACTGGTTGGCTGCAGCTAAGGCCGCTGAACGTGGCCATGACCACCAGCCCAGCCGCGCACGCACGAGCAGTCACGCACAAGTTGTCACAATAAGCCGTACCCGCCGCCATGTCACAATCAACAATCAACAAAATACAACAAAACCAAACCACGGCAAGCAGCCAGAAACCAAAACCCGGAAGTTCAACATGAACCAAACACACGGAAACAAGGATTAGAAACGAAAGTGTTACATAGACAAGAACCAGAAACAGCGGCTAATAACTACAGAAGTGCGCCAGAAACTAGCCTGAACAAACAGAAGTGCACACAAACAAACACGTCGAACATACATCCTCATCACCTGCTGTCAAGGGATTAAGTCGAATCTATGTCAAACTTTTAATCGATCGTGAAAACACACAGACTAGGCATATACCATTCCAGAGACAAGAAACGTTCATCTAAATTAGAGAAAACAACGGCGCAGTCAGGGTTACAGTTTGTAATTGCATTTGAAACTGCGTTTTAGCAGTTTAGTCAGGGCCCGAGTTTCAATTGCATTTGAAACTCGGGCTGCCTTTTTCTAGCATTTCAGTCAGCCTGAGTCAGGCACATGGCCGTTTCTTTCTTTCTTTCTTTTTTCTCTTTTCTTTTCTTTTCTTTTCTTTTCTTTTTTTTCTTTTTTTTTTTTTTCTTTTTTTTTTGAGATCGCGCGCCGTACCGCGCCGCGCCGCGGCTGAAAAAAAAAAANCGCGGCTGAAAAAAAAAAACAAAAAAAAAAAACAGCCCCATGGTTGGGCCACGGCGGAGATGTCTCGGCCACACCCCAGACTTGCCACGGCCGAGATGTCTCAGGCACAGCCGAGATTAAACCACCACTACCCTTCACAGGCAAACGCGAAGTCTCAAGAGTAGCCTACTCCGAAGAAGAGCCACTACCCTTCACAGGCAAACGCGAAGTCTCAAGAGTAGCCTACTCCGAAGAAGAGGTAAGTTAAATACTCACGCACGTTTTTTTTGGGGTTAAGACAGTGAGTGTATTAATTTAGAGGGGTACCGTCGAAAAACGTGCGTGAGTCCTATTCAACTTACCTCGAAAAAACGGGCTTTCGAAAATCGCTGAGTTTTTCCCGAATAGAACGTACCGTCGAATATATGTGCGTTGTATTAATACAACGTTGTATTCGAATGTCTGTGTTAATTTCAAATATTTTTTTTAATCTGAGAATCCCCAAAAAAACGAAAGTTTTACAACATTGCAATTCATGTCGAAATTCACAACCGAATTTGAGGAAAAAACAAAAACAAGAATGAAAATATCTTTTGACGGCATTTTGCAGTGGTTTCTAACTTTCGAATTTTCCAAAATAATCTAAAAAAATCTGAAAAACAACTACGTTGTACGAAATTAGAATACAAACAAAAATAAAAATACCTGGTACTACAAGCTCCTACAAAGTTGCACCCCAGAACTCGTTGTACAACGTACGTACGTTGTATTCGAGTACAACGTACCCCGTACGTGTTATTCCTGTACAACGTACGTACGTTTTTTTCGGGTGAAGACAGTAGGCTATTAACACCAACTGTCAGGGGAAAAAACATCAGACCGCATCGTACACGACGTGTGCTACTCCACCTAACCGTGAGAAGCCACACTCCACAGTCAGATATAAATTCACGCCCAACACACACACACACGCACACACACACACACACACACACACACACACACACACACACACACACACACACCAGCTACTAGACCCCATTACCATGTACAGAAACTATCGACGAATGAAAGTACGTAAAGCCATCAGACACCATTCTGAAAAGTTACACTGAACGTGAGCCACGAGCCGCGACACTCTACGTGAGCCAGCAATACTCTAGAGAAAACGCAGCTGAAAGGCTTCAACGAGGATGAGAAAGAGGAAGATCTGTTGCAAAGCCTTCCTCCTCTTGTTTTTGTCCCATTCTCATTCGTCATCACCCAACGGCGATCGAAATCCTCTGTACAACCGGCCACAGACTAACGCAACCTGCTTCGTACACGACCCGCTCCGCTATGTCTGTTGGCATCCACAGGCTTACCCCGTATTCTGGGGTCATGGTGCATAACAACGTCATACAGACTTCATAAAGAGAGCATACGGGGACCATTCAGAGGGCTCATACAGGTCATAATATTATAGAAATGCATACCACGAGTATCGAAGTTCAATCCAATCGTCAGCAGATTGGTGGAATCGGTATCGCAGACAAGGTCAACGAATCGCTCGGTCCTAAACAATATCCCAACCATTCAACTCTCGTACGGCAAACAATGCAGGCATAGTTGGCAGCACGCCGTGCAACGTAAAAGTGACAACAAGAGGAGGAAGGAGAGGAAGGGGAGAAGGAGCTTCGATGAGAGCAAAAAAAAGAAAAAAAAAGAGCTTCGATGAGAGCAGGAGAAGGATAAGAGAGAAGAGGGAGGTCAAGGTTTGATAACAAGAGGAGGAAAGAAGAGAGAACAGGAAGACGACGATTTGATAAAGAGGACAAGAGAAAAGAAATAATCCAGGGAAGGAAAAAGGTTCTGTATGATGTGTTTCCATCTCCGACTGTCATGGCTAGCCGTACGAGAGTTGAGTGATTGTAATCATTCAGGAAGCGATTCATTCACCTTGCCAGCGATATGGAGTCCCATCGCCAGCACTCTGGTGGGCAATGGGCTCTATGATCGTCTGTCGAAGATGTCGAGTCAAATGTTCAAGAAGACAACAGAACGGTTGATGAGCCGGACATAGGCGGGAAGAGCAGATACGTTGTGAGCACGGCTACCAACAAACAGTGTGCTTACTATCACAGACACAGTTGGCCGGTGAACAAGCAACAAGGTTCGATCGGAGTATGACTAAACCAGGACTGGTGGAATAAGGCTTTGATCAACGCCCCGATAAGCATTACCTTTATCATCACTCACGCACGCCCCGCCCTGCGCCGTAATAGCATCCATACGCTTGTCTGCGGCGCAATTCAAGTTCCCCGCTCGATTGAGGTCGTGTAAGTGCGATCGACTGCGCAGACGGTTGATACGAGCACCCATTAGCAGCTCCTGGGGGGTCCGCAACGCCATAACCATCCCCTGCTCCACAGCCAAGGCGACGAACACACCCATCACCAGCAGAGTAAAGAGCCAGGGAGGACATAGTCCTTGCTTCCTCCAGCCCAGAGGGCGAGACCGTCCAATTGGTCCACTTATCGACCGGTCCCTGGCCTCCGCTTCCCTTTCCATCGTCGTCACTATATCCGTACGTTGCCTCCACCGAAAACCGCCAACGGCGGGTCAAACCTCAGCGGAGACGTTTGCGAACACTCACGGTCGTCAAAGTCGCCGCTATAAACCTAACGCCCGATTTGCTACACCAATTCAGCTGCCTCGGCCTGCCTGCGATGGGAAGCCCCGCGCGCCACTTCACCTATTCCAAACAGCCGCCCTTACCTTCCCAGACGTGGGAGAATGAACATACGTTATTCCACTGTATCCCGCCAACTGCGCAAGAAGCACAACGATTCACGCAATGATAGTGGCCTTTCGTACTCCTTATATAGGCAGAACAAAGTAGTTTCACAAGATTGTCAAAGGGATGACCGGCAGTCATCCCGGGACATCCGTTAAAATTGGAACGATACAGAGAAGATTAGCATGGCCCCTGCGCAAGGATGACACGCATAAATCGAAAAAAAAAAAAAAAAAAAAAAGGGTTGCCAGCAGTCACTGGCTAGCCGCTCAGTTGGCACACCCATGAACTGTTGAGATGCAGACCTGTGTTCGAATCCATCGATGCAACCAGATGGACATTAATAAAGTACTTTCAAAGGATTTCAGGTTGTAACCCCTGTCCCCAAGTCCAAAAGAGACCGAAGAGTACCCCTCAGGCCAGACAAGTCAAAGTCCGACCAGTACCCGGCCAAAGAGTCCGGTCCCAAAGTCCAATTGCAGCACTGCTCCAAGAAAAATCTGGAACGTGTACCCATCTGCTTGTGCACCACGGAGGGGTCTTAGTCCATGGTTGTTGTATGTTGGGTTTGGCCTGTGGGATGTCTGCTGATGCTCTAGGTTCATGTGGTGGTTTGAGTGCTTGCATACTTGGGGGGGAAGTTGGGGATGAATGCTCATTTGCCTTCCGGTCCACTATTGCGCACAAATCATTCAAAAAAAAACTGGAAGGTACGGGGCCTGAAAATTTTAAACAGCAATCAGGCCGCGGGCGACGGTACCAGTCAGGGGTAGAAAGGAGGAGGTGGCACCCCGAGTGTCAGTGAGATCTGAACACACGACAGACAAGATACTAAGAGAACCCCGTGGAACGATAAAGCGTGCCCTTATTGCGAAGAGGAAGATCATAGGAAAAAGGACTGTGCCACAATAATAAAAGCCTTGAAATAAGGGATTATTGAGTTGGATGAGAGAAAATTTGTAATGTGGGCTGACGATGGAAAACCAGTGTCTTTTCTGCCATCTATGAAAATCAATGTCAACATCCGAAGAAAGAGGATGTAGTCAAGGTTAAGCAAATAGGAGAGCCTAGACCTTCAAAAGTCTCTAAGATCCAATTTGAGGAAGAGGAGGAAGATGAGAGTCTTAGGATATGGCTATCGTCTATCTGTTTCGAAGATAATAAGCTGGAGGATAACACCACTCTGGTTTGTAGGCAGAGGACGACTTCCGAGTTGAACTGAGAGCAAAAGTCAGATACGGATCAGTCGATGATAGACGAGCAAGTAGAATCGCCATGATCAAGTAGAATCGCCATGATCGCTTACATCGCCTAGGAAAACAGGCCAAAAACAAAGTCAGGTGAAAAGTCTGTTAGATGAAGTAAGCCCGTTTGAGCCATTGACGGGGGCTTTAGAATTGCCTATTCCTATAACCTTTAAGGCATATATAGCCAGATGTGCTCCTGCTCAAGACGAGTTGTTGAGCCTGATGAAGAAATCGACAGTTCCCGTGTCGCCGGTATCGGCTACGAATCCCCTGCGGCCGCAGTCGCCACAGTCACGACGGGGGCCTGCAGTCATGACCATGGCCCCGCGGTCATGACCACAGCCGTGGCAATTCAGCCGCGTGGCGGCCAGAGGGGGAGGGGGTTCAGTGTGGGAGTTGCGGATTGGGTTTCCGGAACCCCGACCCTACCCTCTAGATGAAAAAAAAGTTAAAAAAAAAAAGATTTTTGGGGGGATGGTGTTTGGTGTGTGAAAAAGAAAATAAAAAAAATAGAAATATATATATATATATATATATATATTACCGGGCAGTTCTATTTGACGATATATATATGAGTCGGTGAAACTCCGACGAAACAGTTTGTCGCAGCCCCTCATTTGTTGTCCTCTTCTCTCTCTCTGCCTACGGTTTACCGGGCAGTTCTGTTTGTGTATACAGGGTTACCTGACCGAACGTTCGGGGGCCCCCGGGCTGGCCCACGAACGTTCGGGCGTTCGGGGTCCTGTTCGGGGGCCCCCGGGCTGGCCCACGAACGTTCGGGCGTTTGGGGTCCTGTTCGGGGGCCGAACACCTCCAGGTTCGGCCCCCGCCGAATTTTTTTTCGGGGCCTAAAAGTAAGTTTTCTTTTCTGAATTGTTTTTTGTGAGTTCTCTATGATGTAACCTACACGCCAAAAAAATTTGAAGCCATTCTGCTAAGCCAAAAAAACATTAAAAATCGTAAAAGATGGGGGTGTCAAAACGTGCTCCCCCACTCACTATTTTTGTTTTTTTCACTTTTAACTTCTTGTTTTCACTTTATTTCGGGGCCTAAAACGTTCCTCGTAGTGGGCACAGTCTTTGAATTCATCCTCCCGCCTTGCGAGTTCAGCCGCCCCCCCCTCCCGCAACAACGTTCGAGCTTGCATGCGGCATGCCCGCCACTACCACCATCGTCAGAGGGAGGAAGAAGCAGGGCAACGAGGCGGCCATAGCAGGCAAGGAGCTGATGCGGAGCAGGCGCAGGAGGGCTGGCAGTGGGTGCAGCGAAGGCAGCGCGAGGAGCCCAGCAAGGAGCAGTGCAAGCATCTCTCTCTCTCTCTCTCTCTCTCTCTCTCTCTCTCTCTCTCTCTCTCTCTCTCTCTCTCT